GTGAACAGGCAGTTTTTAGAAAAAAGAAATTAAAGCTATTAATAGTCATATAAAAATGCTCTAAATCACTAAGAATTAGAGAAATGCAAATTAAAACAACTTTGAGGTACCACCTCATATCCATCTAGATTAGCTAAAATGACAAAATAGGAAAATGACCAATGCTGGAGGGGATGTAGGAAATAAGTTCACTAATACACTGTTGGTGGAGCTATGAAATAGTCCAAGCATTCTGGAGAACAATTTGAAACTATTTCCAAAGTACTATTAAACTCTGAATACCCTTTGAGTCAGCAATATACCACTATATCCCAAGGAGATCAGAGAATAAAGAAATGTACGCAAATGTACAAAAATATTTATAGTAGCCCTTTTTGTAGTAGTAAAGAATTGGAAACTTAAGTCATGTCCATCAATTAAGGAATGGCTGAACAAATTATGATATATGATTGTGATAAAATACTGTTGTGCTGTAAGAAACAATGGAGGGGATGGTTTCAGGAAAGCTTAGGAAGACTTACATGAACTGATGCAAAGTGAAGTGAGCCGAACCAGAAAAACAATCTACGTAGTAATAGCAATGTTGTAAAGACAAGCAACTGGGAAAGACTTCGTAACTCATTAACTCAGATCAATACAGTGATCCACCACAATTCCAAAGGACTCATGATGAAAAATACTATCCATCTCCAGATAAAGAACTGGTGGTCTTAGAGTGCTAGTTGAAGTATATTTTTTCCTTTATTTTTCTGGGGGTTTTTTTGTTTGTTTGGGTGGGGATGCAGGGGGAACATGGCTAATGTAGAAATCTGTTTTGCATGACTTCATATATATAATGGGCATCATATTTCTTACCTTCTCAGTAGACGAGGGAATGTTTGAAAAAGGGAGAAAATTTGAACTGAAAATATAATTTAAATTAAAAAAAGAAAATGTTTAATACTCCACTGTAAAACTCACACCTCCTAAAACTATCCATTATTTCATTGTGACAATTTTACAGAGACCCACTCTCTAAATATCTGTATTTTTTCTGGGGTTTTTTTCTGGCACTATTTGTAGTGGAATATAAATATAAAGGCAAAGAAAATGCCCTATTAATAGGGAAAACTTAACCAGCTGATGTGCAGTACCCTACATTGGGGATGATATAAGCATACTGTTTTCTTATAGAGACTACTTCCATGATTAAGGGGGTTAAAGAGCCTCAGCCTCCATAACATTATAATGACTTCAATAAACTTAAACATATTCAGACTTTAATAGCTATTCATTCCCAAGATTAGGTGGTGTTAAGTATGTATCTAAGTTTGACTCCAAAGGCCAGCTATGACTGAGGCACATTATTAATTTTTAGGGGCTGCTGAATAAACTGGGCGTACCACCCCTACCTCCATCTTACTACCTGTTGTTAGGGTCTGGCCTTTAATTGCTAGGACTTTCCTAACATAAAGTCAAAATTCTTTACCAATAAGATTCACCAAATGTATTAGGTAACTGCTATGTACAAGGGAGGAAGAGAGGGAATAAGCATTTATTAAGTGAGTGTTATGCACCTGACACTGTGCCAAGCGCTTTAGAGATATTATCTCATTTGGTCACAAGGCACTATGCTAAAGGCAGAGGCTATAAAGATATAGACAAAATAGTCCACACTCACTCAAAGAGCATACATTCTTGGGAAGATAAAGTAGAGAATGTAACATGTGCACAGATAAGTAAATAAAAAGTAATTTAAAGAGGGAGAGATTGATTGAGAATCAAGGAGAGGCTTGGGAGGATCAAGGAAAAGCTTCACAGAGGAAATGGCTCCCAGGATAAGCCTTGAGAAAAGAAAAGGATTCTGAGAGGCAGAAATGAAGAGATTCCAGACATGCGAGAATACAGGAAGGGGTGAAGAGGTGGATTAGAATGCTTAGTTCAAGGAATAACAAGGAGTCCAGCTTTGCTAGATCATCAAATATATGACAAGAACTCATATGAAATAACTTTCAAAAGGCAAGTTGGAGCCGAATTGTCGAAAGCTTTGAATGTCAGGCTGAGACATATTTCATAACAGAAACAATGAGGAGGGCCTGGAGGTTTTTGAGCAAGGGAGCAACGGTGTTTGGAAGTAGGGAAAGCACTGAGGAGACCCTCCTGAGACAGCATGCTGGGGGCCTTGAGTAGGATGGTGGATACAAGAGATGTGGTGGAGATAAAATCAATAAGTAACAGCAACTGATTGTTTATGGAGGATGAGGAACAGACAAGAGTCAGGGATGACAAAGATTGTCAGCCTGGGTGACTAAGAGAATGAAAGCTCGTTACCGCGACTAGAACCATATACCATGATTGAATATGTACATTGGGGGCAGAGAAGCTTAGATGTTTGGTTTGCCTTTGAGATTGGGGGTAGTAAGTCATGTGTTTTGGCCAGGTTCCAATCAAATACCGGTCTATATTCAATCTGGTTATTTAATAGGGATGTTCTGAGGGCAAGAAATTTGAGGGATTTAATAGATTCTGTCTCTAAAGCATTTATTCTCCTTGGGGGGAAAAAGATTATTTTGTGAATTCAACATATTATTACATGTAAAAACTTATGAGAAATTCTGTAGTTGCATCAAGTTGTCTTATCCCTGAATCTTTTTGCCCAAATCTCCCCCATCCTTAAAAAACTTTCACATGACCCTGCCATCCATTCAAATTTATCATCCTATATTTTCTGGCAAATTTATTAAAAAAAAAAAACTTCTATTTTAAAAGCCCTATACTCACTTCGTATCCTCTTGTAATGTGGTTTCTATCACTCAACTGAAACTTCCCTCCAGAGTTACCAACAATCCCTTACTTGCTACCCAATGTCTTTTTCCCAGGTTTCATCACTCTTGACTGTTCTGTACCATTTGACAGACACTGTTGACCATTCCATCCTCCAAGATACTCTCCATCCCCTGTCCCTGCCCCCTCCCACTCCCTGCTCCAGGTTTTCATGATACTGCTTTCTCTTGCTTTTCTTCCTACCTATCCAGTCATTCATTCTGAGTCTCCTTTGCTGGGTCATCATCCATGTCCCCCTGCATTTGTATGAGTGGACCCCAGGGTTCTATTCTGAGCCATCTTCCCTCTCTACTCTCTCTCGGCAGTCTCATCATTTCCTGTGGGTTTAGTGATCATTTCTATGCAGATATCTTTCAAATCTATGTAAACAACTTTTATCCTTTTCTTGAACTCTTCTCCCACATTGCCAGTTGCCTATTGTACATCTAGGAAGAGTATGGAGTAAGAGTAAGAAGACCTAGGTTCAAAACCTGCCTCTGATGCTTACTACCTATGTGACCTTTTGCAAAATACGACCTCCCTAGACCTCAGTTTCCTTACTGTAAAATGAAGAGGAAGAACTAGATGGCCTCTCAGGTCCTTTCTAGCTTGGAGTAGGGTTCTTAACCTGGGGTCTATGGATAGATTTCAGGGGGTCCTTGAACTTGGATGGGAAAAAATTACATCTTTAATTTCACTAATCTCTAAATGAAATTTAGCATTTCCTTCAATTATAGGCAATAAACCATTATTCTCAAAAGGGGTCCACAAGCTTAACTAGACCTACACAGAAAAGGGTAAAGGGCAGCTAGGTGGCACAGTGGATAGAGCTCTGGACTTGGAGTCAGGAGGACCTGAATTCAAATTTGACCTCAGACACTTGGCACTTACTAGCTGTGTGACCCTGGGCAAGTCACTTAACCCTGATTGCCTCAGCAAGAAAAGAAACAAACAAACAAACAAAAAACAAGAAAAGGTTAAGAACTCCTACTCCAGCTTTGTGATCTATGACATAGTTCAAATCCTACCTCTGAGTGATTAATATAGCAGCAAGTGAAGCCCTACCTCATTTGTAAAATGAGAGGGTTGAACTATATGGCCTCTGAATTACCTTCTAACTCTATATCTATGATTCTGTGATCTCCATCTGGGTGTCCCAGGAGCAAATCAAATTTCACATATGCTAGATAAGGATATTTAGTGAAAAGATAAATGCCTTGTCTTTTCTTTAATTGAAACCCGCCACTCTTCTCAGTTTCCCCATTTTACCTGTCACTTAGATTTGCTGCTTCAGTTATCCTTGGCTCTCCACCACAGTAAGTTGTGAAATCATCTCAATTCCATCTTCACAATATCTCTTGCATCTCTTCTCTTCACTTCACTCATGCTATCACCCTAGTTTAAGCCCTCATCTCTTGCCTTGATGATTGCAAAAGCTTCTAAATTGGTCTCTCTGCACCGAGTGGCTCCAACTCATCCTCTGTGAAGGTATCAGACAGATATCACTAAAGCAGAAGTTGGGTCCTGCCTAAGAAGTTTCAGGGGCTCCATTTTGCCTCTGTAATGAAACACAAACTCATTTAGAATCCTTCATAATCTATATCTAACTGATCTTTCCAGATTTATTTCACATTACTCCACACACACACACACACACACACACACACACACACACACGGTAAAGTGAGTTTTCTCAACCTTGGAGTCCCCTGTACCAATGAAATCACAAGTTCGGCACCTAACCCAGTCCCTTTTTCCTTCTCACACTCTAAATTCCAACCACACTGGCTAATGTACTGTAACCATACACAGTATTTCATCTTCTTTTGTTCCTTTGTATAGGATTTCCCCAAAGGTGTTCTCCCTTATCACTTCCACCTCCCAGAACCTGTCTCCCTTCAAGATTCATCCCAAAGGTCACTTCCTACATAAGGCCTTTCCTGAACCCCATAGCTTTTGCTACTCTCCCAAACTCCCAAATTACTTTGTATTTCCTTAGTATATATTTTGTATTGACTTATTTCTAAAACAGGATGTTTATTTCAGAATATGGGCAGAGGAAGCTCAGGGCTTATTCTATTACATGTGTCTATCAGAGGAGAATGGGTGTACTTATGACAACTGCACCCTTCAAGAAAACATTATCATAAGAGATTAATTGGTGGGGTTTTGTCTTTTTTTCGGGGGGGTGGTTGTAGTTGCTGAATCCTGAAGATGACCTCTTACCAGGAAAGATTCGAGACAGCAATCGTTCAACTCTCCTAGCAACAATTCAGGAACATGGCTACCCAACCATCAACTTGGGAATTGTAGGAGACAAGTAAGTATTGAATGTTAATTTGACGAGTAAACATTGTACAAATATGGCTCTTTAGAAAGTTAGTGAAGTTTGACCCAAAGAGGTAAAAAAAAGAAAATTATTTAAATGTTGTAATTTATGTCAGTCTCTGGGAGCCAGAGGGTTATAGAGATACTGATATCCTGTAAGGATTTTTTCTTCTCAGGAAGTGGCTATTGAAGCAAAAAAAGGAAAATTCTGCATTGCTGTGAGTTTTCCCATTATAGAAATCTTTATTTTATGGTGTTGGCTTTCTCCTCCTACTCCTAACATCAGTAATGTTTTTGCAACTCATTCCTGTGCTTCCTGCAGTAAGGACTAGGGAGAACACAGTGAGTAAAGTAGGGAGGATGTCAGTACTAGAACTCATAGACCCCTTCCAGCTCTGATTTTTTAAAATTTGAATGCATAATCCCTAAGCATTCCAGTTCTTTCAGTGTTGACTTTTGAGTCCTTGAAACATGCATCTACCTTGACACCTAAAAAACCGCTCATTTCTTTTCTGTCATTTCACTCTTTACAATCACCTTTTCTCCACATTTTTTTCAATCTCTTCTATAATAATCTCTAAGATTATTTCTGGTGGAGATCGTTTCCTTTGACAATTTTTGACCTTTGGAAACCTTTGACATTTGTTTTGACTTTGATGTTTAGCCTACAACTGGTCTGTAGCTGAGTTCCTAGCACAGAGTCTTGTACTCAGATGTGGGCCTGATTGGTATCACTATGTTCCATCCGCATGAACTACATAATCTTAACCCTAACCAGCTGTTGTACAAGTGAGTGAAAAGAACCAGTTACAGAAAAACAGAATCTGTGTGAATTTTGGGTTGGTCAGCAACCAGTCTTTCTTTCACACAGGCTTCCAGCCCTTGAAAACCATATACTAACGCAAACAACTCCAAGAAAGATAAAATCAGATGCTAAGAAGAGGAAGAAAAGTTTCTGAGGCACAAATGCATGAAATCCTGAAATAAATAGCCATGAAATAGGGAAAATAAGGCTGTCAGATTAATTTGAGTCTCTTTCCTAAACAACACTAACTACTTCAGACCCCACAGGTTTCCTTGTTTCCTAGTCTCAAACACAAAAATGAGTTCTATAAGTACCTTCACAATAGACTTTCTCTAAGCAATGAGACATATGCCTCTTTACTCTTTTTGTCTCATTGCTTTGTCTTCCAAAACACTGTTAATCATTTGCCATACTGCCATTTAAAAAAAAAAAAAGCCAGTAGCTCTGATTTTAAATGAATGGTCACCATTGAAAAAACTCATATTGGCATTGGTGCTCCATTTTCTGAAGTCAATACAGTGGATGTATTCAGGTTTCACAGCCAATAATGTTCATATAGTGCTCTGAAGAATAATCTCTGGCATCTCTTTGGGATTATACATAGTAGGGGCCAGCAGGGAAATCAGGTTAAAAAATAAAATCAAAAAAAACTCCCAGTCTCCAATGGTAAACTTAACTTTTTGCTGTCAGTACCTCACATCAGAATAAGAGTCAGTATAAAAAGTTGGAGTATATCTACACATTCTCATCCTTGAAAAGCCCTAAAATGAACAAAGAAATAACTAGATTAAAATGTAGAAGTGAAAGTGAATCCATCCAGTAACAAGAGGAAAAGAATTTATGACTGTTCTAATGGGAATCTGTACAGGGAATTTAGATTAAATTCTTCTTGTTTCTGTTGCTAAAGTCATTTGATATTCTAGGAAGGTTGCCTCCCCCCTCGTTTTTAGCTACCTTTGCAGTTGTATGCTAATGAGAATAAAAACATTACATAGAAGCTACCATGTAAAAACCACTAGGGAAAACCTGAAGGGGTCTGGGACAAAGTCTACACTGTCTGCAAAATGAAAGGAGAAAACAGTCTCCAAGTACTCACCAACTTTACCCAGCTGTGCCAAGAGAGACAAAAGAGAAAGTGCAACCTTAAATAAATTTAAACAACTCTGTTTTTTCAAACTCAGAGAGATTATATTCTTTAACCTACACCCAAAGAAATATCTAGTCTTCAACCCACATCCCAAGAATTATAAGATCAAACGAGATAATATATGTACATGCTTTGCAAACCTTAAAGGTTTATATAAATGCTTGCAATTATTAATATCTTAGAGTAGGAAGGAATTTTTAAGATGATATAGTCCAGCCCCTACCAATCCAATTTTTAAAAATCCATGTGCAGCATCCCTGATGGACAGTCATGCATCTCTTCTTGAACACATTTAGTGACTGAAGGTTCACAGTCTCAGAAAGTGGTCTGTTGTGTTTTTTACAACTCTAATTGCTAGAAAAAATTTTCTTATATTTAAGCACAATTTGCCTCTCCATAATTTGCATACTTTGATCCTAGATCTTGCTTGCTTTTTTTCTTCACTATAGGAGTCCTTCACTAATTCATGTTTAACTTATGATCCAAGATGACCCCCTATGATCGAATTTTGTATTGGAAAGATCTCTAAACAGGGGAGTCTAGAAACCTGAATTTGCATCTTACTTCCAGCAAGTACTAAGGCTGTCACCTTGGGCAAGTCATTTCCATTCCCTCAAGCCTCTTACTTTATCTACAAAGTTATACAGTTAAACTACATAACCTATAAGATATCTTCCAGGTCTAAATTCCTGTAATTCCTCTTTTACTGTCATGTCTGTACAAAACCCATCTGCTTTGTCTTGTATAAATGCAGTTTATTTTTCCTTTATCTATATACTCAGCAGTTGTCCTTATTAGACTTCAAACTTCTCCAACCTATGACTAATATTGCTAAGGTAGTTAGTAAAGTACTAACTGCTCCTACCAAATTGATATTATCAGCAGGTTTAATACATGCTTTCAAACTCTGCCTATAGGTAGCTCATCTTTAGTTTACACAGAAACTTTGTAAATGTGCACCCAAAATTTTAACAAGTATAATCTTAGTGTACACAGAAAAATATACTGCATGTAGTAGGCACTTAATTCACATTTATGAGCTTTAAAAATGCTTTCCTCACAATAATTATGAGGTAGAAAGTTAAAATTGTATTATTCCCATTTTATAGATGGAAACTGAGACAAGTTAATTGACTTGCTTCAGTAGTAAATGTTAGAGGCAAGAATTGAACTCAGATCTTATGATTCTACAATTTTCCGTGGTATTTTACTTCCTCTCTATATTAATAAATGTTGGATTGTATTTGAGAGGGATTATTTACTACAAACACTGGTACTCTGTACAAAATTTAGTGGTTTATATAATCTAGCAAAATTAGGAGGGGTTTCATTAGCAAAGAAACTGTGGGTGCTCTGGTTTCTATTGGAGTCAGCTCAGCTTGCTTTGTTGAGCTAGACCACATTCAGTCATAGTATTGTGTCAAAGGGGATATGATGAAAATATATGTAAAGTGCTTTCAGATAAAAACCTCATACTAAGAATTCATATACTATAATTCACCCCATCCTCATTCTTCATCACCATCAACTTGACTACGTTTCCTATTCCTTCCTTTTCTTTAGCTGATATTGTTGTCAAAAGGATACATTTAGGGGAGGGATAAAGCTGATGAGTTTGGTTTTAAACGTAGTTAGGGACTCCCAGGTGCTCTGTGAGAGGACATTCAGTAGACGATCGGAAACGTAGAACTAGGGCTTTGGAGAGGTCTGGGTGAAAACTATACATTTAGGAAATTATAGTAAAGGGGGGGAGATATGATCACGAATGGAAACAAGCATAGAATGAAGAGAGAAGAGAGCCCAGGACAGAATCTTCCCCTTTAGTTGGGAGAAGGAACACGAGGAAAAGGAACCATTAAGGAGAAGGTGGTACTATAGAAGCTAAGGAAGAAGAGTTTCAGTAAGGAAAGGGTAACCAATAGTGTCGGGCAGCAAGGAGGCGCAATGGATAGAGCACTGGGCTTGGAATCAGGAAGACTCATCTTTCTGAGTTCACATTTGGCCTCAGACACTTACTAGCTGTGTGACCTTGGGCAACTCACTTAACTCTGTTTGCCTCAGTTTCCTCGTCTGTAAAATGATCTGGAGAAGGAAATAGCAAACCACTCCAGTATCTTTGCCAAAAACAAAAACAAAATAAAACAAAAATAACAAATGGGGTCACAAAGGGTCTGACACGACCGGAACAACTCAGCAACAACAACAACCAGTAGTGTCAAATGCTACATGGTGAAAGAGGATAAAACCTCAGCAACTCCTTTTGGAGTTCGCAATTAGAAAGCCATTGGTGACTTTTAAGAGCACAGTTTTGGAAGGTAAGTAGATACCCTCCTTCCTGCTTGCACTGTCTATGTGCAATTGTGTGAGATATACTCACATACCCTATTGGCAAAGCTCTGCTATTATGATTTCCCCTAAAATCTCCACATTTTATGACCAATCGATAAGTTAACATTTGTTAAGCACCTACTATGTGTCCGGCACTGTGTTAGGTAATAAGGACTCCAAGACAAAAATCAGACCATGTCTAAACTGCGGGAGCTATCACTGCCAATAAGTTTAAGCTCAACAACCATTTCCAAAATCTTCTACAATATTTGGGCTATTGTCATTTTACTCACTAAGATTTTTTTTTAACTTATTTTTGCTATATTATGCAGAATGTAAGAAGGTGCCGTGGCCACCTTTGAGGATGACTCTTAAGTTTCATGAGTTAGCTAGCTGGATAACCGGCCTCTCTTCTTGAAATACAGCCACAACTTGCATTCATTTGGCAAGAACTGCACTGTGGTAAACCACTTTCTTGTATTTGCAAATGCCCTTACAGTTCTGTGTAGCCTAAGTCAATCATTTCTCACCAGTTGTGTCAGACAACAAAATCACGTCTTTGAAGTATCAAACTAATCTAGATTGCTGTAGTCAATCAATCAAGCATTTATTAAGTACCTAGTAAGTGCCTGGCACTGGGCTGATGCTGGAGATGGAAAGACAAAAGCAATTCATTCACTTTTGTAGTCATGTTCAGCTCAAAAAGAAAGAA